TCCAGCTTTCTGCTTTCTCCAGTGCATCTTGTTGAGAGGCATCTTCTCTATAGGTGGAGTTTCTCAGCTATTGTTCAGTGTCATATGACATGACTTTGGAAATATTAAAGCACAAACTATTTTTAGGAAACCTTATCAGAGTTACTTTATATACTTTTGTGATAACTAATAAAACTTGTGCAATTAATCTCTCAAGTCTAATCATTCATCATTTATTTAGATTTTGATTAGAGTCTTTTGATTTCCTAAGAATCTTAAGTATATATTTTTTTTTAATTTTCCTTTTGGGTTTATTTTTCTCTTTGCAGTGATGAATTTTGTGATTTCTGAAAAGTCTTTACATGAGTTTTTATGTTTTAATCCTAGTCAGCAATTAAGTACCACATAGTTGCTCATTCACCTCCCCCCTCCTCCATTGGAGGAGGAGAATTGGAGGAAAAGACAAGGAAACTCATGGGTTTAGATAAGAACAATTTAATAATTGAAAGTAAATGAAATAAAAAAGTTATACCAATAATACTAATAACATGTAATGAAATAATGGGAAAGAAAACAAATGTTACAACTACTTACCACCCGCTGACCGACCGAGAGCCAGAGCTTGAGCGAGAGAGAGAGTCCACCCTTGGACCAACCCCCCAATTTATATAGTGAGCATGATGTTTCATGGAGTGAAATACCCCCTTGGCCAGACTGGTCCAGCCGTCCTGGAACTGAGCCACATTAAGCAGTTTGTACAATAGCTAGGACAGGTTTCTGTAGCATTCCAATGTACATGAATATTAGCAAGAACCCTGTTAAATAGAGGATCTTAGTCACTCATTCAAATTTCAGGTCAGCCAATTGGCAGGACAAAACACAAAAATGGAAGTATTTTTAAGTCTGACATTGTGGTTTACATTTTCTTGTTTGTTTCTTTTTAAGCATTACTTTTTAGTTTATTATTGTAATTTGTTATTTGATAGAAGTCTAGTCATTTAAATAGGTCAGGAGCTGGGTATCTGTAAAATATTTCAATATGAGGAGGTAAAATGAATGTAAGAATTGTATTCAGAAGTAATTAGTCTCTTCTTTCCTTTCACAGTGAAATTGCTTTTACTAGGCAACTTCATGAAAAAGCTCCTGATCTCTGTTTTTATTATATGGGTTTCTACATTCATTCATGCCCCAAAATGAGATACAAGGTAAAGTGTGTTTTTACTTATTTCCGCAGTGTACTATTACTCAAAGCATTTGACAGTGTTCATAGTAATATAATATTTTGTAATTGTCATTTTGGTTTTTATTGTAGACTTTATATGGTTAAATTTGAACGTTGGTTACTGTTTAACTTGGCTTAGGATTTTTTTTTTTTTAAATTTAGTTGCATGTGGTATTTATTACGAGTTGGCTTAAAAGCAGTTCACATGCAGTGGTTTTCAAGGCTGTCAGATAATAGTTTGTCATTTGGTTACCTGGTTATCTTGTGTTTACAGCCTGTCTTCCAATAGACTAAAATTCTCCCTTTTTAGGTTTGCATATTTGTGGAACTGTTGCTTAGTGACTGTAGGCAGCGATAACATGCCTTCATGGTCTTGGCTGTACTTGGGATTTTCCTCTTTGGTTTTTGTTAGAGATAGGGCACTTGCTCGGCCGATGAAACCGGTTAGGAGCAGTTTTGAGCCAGGTAGCAGATTTTTGAGGAAAGGGTCAGGAGAATGAATGTGCAGTGTTGAGTATAACCAGCCTGTCACCGAACCTCCTTTGTAACCCCCGTTAGCTTCAACTTTGTGTAGACCTGAGTGCTTAACGTTGTGTCTCTTGTGTGATTTTTAGATCTTGTGAAAGTGGTATCTTTTATTTGTAAATGTATCATTGCTTTTTGAGTATTTTGATAGAATTTTGGAGTCCTGAACATAGAAATTTTCTGAACATTTACACATATATCTGTTAATAATGTGGAAAGATCCAAAGCTCATGAAATGTTGTCTTTTCGTTCTTGTTTTCCTTCAAAGTGTGCTAAAAATCTGTGGTGTTTTCAGCTTGTTTTCGAATAGGAAAAAAAAAAAAGTGAGCCTCATGGAAGTGATACTGTGAAGGAAAAACCATTTCAATGTCATTGTGGCCTACACTACAGGTGACCGTGGTGATTTCAGTCTTCTGAAAATAACAAATAACAAATCCCTCTCTCTCCTTTTGTTAGAAGATGTTTGTCTGTCCTCCCCCAATCCCTCTGCCCCTTGCCAACTTGACTTTGTCATCTACATCTGCTGGCCAAACAAAGAGTATGAAGTTTGAGGGAAGCAAATGGGTGAACTGAAAACACTGCCTCTGTCAGCTAATAATTTTCAAGGCCATTGCATCACCAGCTTGAACCATAGGTTGTGGTTACCTGCTCTACTCTTTGGACATACTTAGAAGTTTGGGATGATTTGTTCATGTTGAGAGACTGCAATTTAACACCCCTTGTCTGTTCTACAACCTGTGTAGTTCAGGACTTGTAAAAAGAATGCCTTTAATTTACTAGGGCACTCAAGAAAAGAAACGAATCTGAGTATAATGGCAAAAAGCGTCCCCTGTCTGAAAGGTGACATTGCTAAGAAACTTCGGGTTCAGCCACTTGTACAAGTTTTAATAAAAACATGAACATTGTGTGCATGGATTAAACAGAGCTCATCCCTGAGGCAGTGTATTAAAAGTAGCCAGAAAACTATTAAAATATGAAGATTAAATGCTGGAAAACTAGGAGCTCAGTTCACTAGGCACTGTACATTTGTATTGTTTATTATGATGTGTCTGTTCTGTTGGGCCTGCCCTGTTATTTAAAAATGATGCATCAAGAATATGCAATTCTCACAGTGCTTATAGTTTTCATTCTCAAATGAAGGAAATTGAATAAATTACAATGGGAGCATTATAATTTTTTTTTTTCCACAAAAGCTCCTTTTTTTTCCCCTTGCTTAGACTTTAATGACTACCTGATTTGACTGTGATTTGGTAGAATATACATTTTAGTCTTCCAGAAACCCATACATGTCAACGTGCTTAGGTAATTAACCTGGCCCAGTATGAGAATTACCAGGGCAGGGGGTTGGGAGAAGAAGAAAACCTAGACATATATGTTTAAAAGACACACAGTAGCAGGTAAGTAATGCTCTGTGTTGGGAGAGTAATAATTGGATTACTGTATTGCAAGGGTCTTGTTTTGTTTTATTTTATATGTCTTTTCCTATGTATATTTGTTTTAGAAGTGGCCACATGTAACACAGTTGAAAATCAGGCTGACACTAATTCTGTAGTTCCACTTTACCCTCACTGAAATAGTACACCAGAAACAAATGTTAAACGTGAGCTTTGAAATGCGTCTGGATAATGCTACTACTCTTGTGCAGTGATTGGTAATGGTAAAGTAGGGTGGGTAAGTAGTGACTTTGCGGATTAAGTAATTTAAGTAATGCCTGGTTGACTTAGAGCCATTTCATGTTGAAGACACTGCTTTATTCCAGTTTAATAGAGCTGGTAGAGGCTCCCTTCCCTTAATGATATTTGTGTGGAAGAATGACAGGCTTCAGGTAACTTGTTAAACAGATGTCAGGTGGGCAAATTAAATGAAGAAAAGGGAGGAGCTGATGAGCTAACCACTCCTTTTTATCCTCTGCTTGTAATTTTCTTTGCAAATGGCTTGTCCTGGGGTGTTCAGAGATGGAGGCTAGGCACGGCATCACTGCTTTATGTAAGCAGTGTCTCATGAAGAACACTTACATGCTATACTTATTTACAGCGAAGGCCCAGGATTTTGGAACTCTCTGAAAATTTTCCTTCTTTTAGTTACCAGTTGTGATCCATGGAAATGCCTAAGCTGACACTTGTATTTGATTTTTGGTGGAAACGCAGTACTACTGGCTTGTACTGCATAGCTGTCTGTTTTCCTGTGGATTGAGGAGGGGTAGCTGATGAATTGGGATGGATAAGGAACAGTGACTTTGATGTTGATTGAAGGAGTTTGACAGCGTTTTACTTTGCATGGAGTAAAACTCAGTCTTCTGTACAGCATGTGGTTGGAGTGACTGGGGGGTCTGTGCACTGAACTGCCATAGTCGTACTACAATCCAAGACTGATGCATTAACGCTGTGTGCGTGGAGGACATAGCTTGACGCTTGAAGTTAAATACACGGCGCTCCTACATTGGAAGTATAGGTATCCAGCAGCAAGAATGAAAGCCTTGTTCTGCATGAGTACTTTCTTGGAACGCAAATTGTAGACATCTCTTTTGGGTTCTAACGTGTGAATGTAAAGTAACAGTCAAACATAATTTTTTAAAGCGTTGGTAATAAGTGATATATACCAGTGACTGAGTCATATAGAGTAACAGCTCCTCCCTCTGCATCAGATCATCTGCTGTTCTGAGTTCATGTTGTGTGCCCAAAGGACATCCAAGGCATTGATAGAATATGTTGTTAATTTATTTTTTAATAAGGCTGCTAGTATGATTATTCTTCTTTCTACGCAGTTCTTAATAAAATGCAATCTATATATAATGCAGTCTATAGCAGAGAAGGGCCATGAAGATGCTCAGGGGGGTGGACCACCTGTCCTATGAAGAAAGGTTGAGAGAGTTGGGCTTGTTCAGCCTGGAGAAGGGAAGGCTCCGGGGAGACATTAGAGCACCTTCCAGAACCTGAAGGGGCTACAGGAAAGCCGGGGGGGACACTTTTTACAAGGGCCTGTACTGACAGGACAGGAGGTAACGGGTTTAAATTGAGAGAGGGTAAATTTAGATTGGATATCAGGAAGAATTTCTTCCCAGAGAGG